TGAATCTTATGGAAGGAAAATGATATTATTATTAAAAACGAGACCAGCTCATCGTATTCGCGATCAATGATGAAAAACTCTACCAGTGAGTTTAAGGAAAAAAAAATATATTTTGGTAAACGAAGAGAAAGGTGGAGAAAGAAAAGAGAGGTAAAAAAATGTAATTACACAGACACTAAGTAAATTTTCCATCCCATAATTAATTAATTATAATATATCTGCCGCTTAGTAATATTATTAATTTTATAAATGATTTAAATGATTGTAGTTTCCCTTGTCTGTTTGACGCGCGTGGATCACTCGACTCCTTTTTACCTATGAATCCAATAAGGATAAGTGGTAAAGTTTAGAATGGACAAAAAAAGTTAATGAAATGAAAACCTAACAGTTTTTTTATATTCTCAATAAAAATTTTTATCCCTTACCGATTGGCATATTCAAGTGTTTCGTTTTCTGTATAGGCAAGTATTGTTAAGAATTGGCTTTACTCTCAAAGATTTATATATCGCGTTTCACACAGACCGGAAATAAATTTCCTTTTACGAATCAATTAATTTTTAATTTCCCTATTAAATGTTAGAGATCGCTGTTTGACGTATATTTTGAGCTTTATCAGCGTAATTTAGAAGTTAAAGACTATTATTACGATGAAACCATACAGTAGTGTCCCTATTTTATGAATTAGAAGAAAATTCATGTCGAGTTTTTATCTCTTCTCTCATTCTCTTGATTTTTTCTTCAATTTTTACAAATTTTTTCTTTGAGTCGCAGGCGATTCTTCGTTCTTTATAGTATAAAAGAGAATTAAATTTAAATTACAAATTTCAAAAATGAAAATGATATTATTCAAAAAATTACAATTTATCCTAGTCTTTAACATCCTTTTCCTCCATTCATTTATACACGCGTATTCTACCGGTGCAGGAACATGCAACATAGAGGATATGTCGAAACCTGACCACGGTAGTCCACAGCAAGGCAACGGCGGCTATTCTCTTTCCGTCACTCCAACAGGGAATGGAAACTTCAACCTAGCAGTAAATGGCAATACTGGGTTTAAGGGAATACTAGCATACGTGGTAGACTCAACAAAATCACGAGGCGGGATGTTTACTCAATTACCAAAAGACACACAATTTAAGACGTGCCCTGGAGGTAGCAAAAACACCATTACTCACTCTAGCCCAAGCATAAAAACCTTGCCAATGACGCTTGGATGGTCATCAAATGGTAAAACGACCGGAAACATGACTTTTCGTGCTATTGTTGTCGTGAGTCAATACAAATGGTACATGATCCAGGATCTGAGTTTTGATTTAGCATCAACAAAACCAACAACTTCTTCTACAAATTCTACGAGTATTACTACTTCATCTAGTAATGACATTTCGGGTAACACGGGTAACAGTTCGGATAAATCACAGTTTTTCTTGGTTGTTTTATTTACACAATATACGTTATTTTCGGTTATTGCTGGGATTACGCTGCTCTTGTATATTTTGGGAGCGTTTTTGGAGGTGATGTTGAAACGACAGCAATCAAAATATCGTAATTATGCGAAAAATCTTGGTGGGTTTGGTAGAGATGCTACTAATTAATTAGCATCGATTTGCAAAATTTTTATTAGTCTAGTTTGAGGTTATTTTGTAATTTTAATAGCTTTGGGCATAACATGCATATATACAACTTAATAAAGAGCGAATTCATTTTTATTATTGAAACATTCACGTTCATAATGTTGGATCAAGAAAGTTATTCATGCATACACAAAAAGATACAATGGCTCACTGAAGAAACGGAACACGAAAAGCGTTGCGAAAAAAATTCTGGTGCCTTTAATATTTGAACCTGCTTCCTATTGTTATACTCAGTCTAAAGCAGAATATAAAAAAAACCTAGAAATATTTTTTGTTGTTACCATTCTAAGGTATTACGAAAAATGTTCCATTATACGTCTCAGATTTATTCCATTCCATTATGGAACGACCCTGACCCACCAAACCATACATTTTCAAATAAACTACCGGACGGCAACTTACAAAAGAAACGCCGTTAACACAATTGGATCGCGAATACATGATGTAGCAGAGTTGGTTTGGATTGTAAACTTCAATTATGTGGTTCGCATATTCTTCGGGAGTATTTTTGCACGATGGATATTTGTAATCAAATACGTATGTTATTTGAGCGCCTGAATCCGCGATAAGCCAGATTTCATCCACCGCACGTTTGTCAAAAGGCGTACAGACATTGTTGCTAGGGAAAGCGAGCAAGACAAGAACGCAGAACTAAATATTTATTCAAGAAGAATGAAGTCAATGCAGCCAAGAATGATCACGGTAATGTGTACAAATTCATGCTTTGAGGTGTAAAGCAGACAAATACCTTAAGCAAAGAAACGCAAACATCAATAAACTTCATTTTGATCATGTGTGAAAATTAGAGGAGGAGGAACCAAAAGCAGCTTTTTAAATTTGAGCGAGCTTTTCATTATCAATTTGATCATACAGACCGGATGCATAGATCTAAATTATATTCTGCTGCGTGTGTTGGAAGTTAGCCCATCTTCAGATAAAAGCCAGGCGAGTTACGGATTTCTATGACGTATTCAACGATGAAATCACCTTCTGTGTTCTTACAAAAAATGGTTCTTTACGAAATTTTACTATTAAACTGCGCGTGCAACGTATCCTCAACTCCGAGCCTAGCTTTATTAAGATTTTTTATTTGCTTGCCCACGAAAAATGCAATTTTAATTCTCTTAATCTAAAACCTATCGTCGTTCTAAAAAGTATAACGAATAGTTTATTTTCCAAAAAAAGGCTAATATATTAAATAATCACGATTAAATGTATATGATGGTCATAACGATACAGTCGATTTAACTTTTTATGTCAATCGTTCTTTCATAACGATACAAACAATGAGGACAGCGAAGATAGAAAATACCATAGCAAGTACCTAAATACAACTTAATTGGACATAATGAAAATTCGTAATCCAAATTATGAAATTTGAAATTTGGTTCAGTAAAACTGATCGTTATTACCATGTAACTCCGATTGTGTGTCGATTTCCTATTTCCGTTTTCGAACCATGACCCATTAAAATCATAATCACGATATATCTAAAAAAATATCTTGTAAAGCAAAAGGATAATGTAGAGTAGTAGTCACGAAGAATTAAAGAAAGATGTGCTTAAAAAGTGCTTTTTTAAGCTATAATTAATATAAATGACTTATTTGCATACAGAATCTCCTTTATACATTTACTTTTGACCCACGCAAGCCCGTGTTTACCCGTGAATTTGATTAATGGTTAGGACCTTTACACCAGAAAGGCTTATGTTATTTTGATTGTTATAGAGTTTAAGGCTTTTATCTATAAAAAGCAACGTTAGAACTTATCGATTATAAAGAATCCCTTATAATTAATTAAATAAAACCTTTAAAATTATAAATACCTTTTTAACTCGAAAACTCCCCATAAATAATCCTTAACTAACACCCATTCGCAGATATCGGCACAACCTTTAGACCCATAACGCCTCATAACGACTAATAACTCGCAGAAAACCTGTAACACCATACATTCCGCATAATATCATTAACTAAGAGAACGAGCATATCGATATGTTATTTTTTGCATAACAATAATACGGCAAAGTATCTTTTTTCAATTGGAATCGGATAATATTTCGAATCCAGTTCGTTAAAATAGCGCACTGTGAATGCATAATATAAAAATATAAAAATTGCCAGTTCGCGATAAATTTTCGTTCGTAAAAAATGAACGGGACATGATATTTCGCGACCCAGTGATAAAAAAATAACTAATCAAATAATTTCAAATTCATTTGATTTTTTCCCCTATTATGATCGATTATATATTATATTATTTTATTGAACATCTTGGATTTGGATGGATTTTGGAAGGATTCGAACCCTCATTCCGGAATCACCAGAGCAAAATCCAATTTATGGAATACTACGTACGATCTATGATAATTGGCTAGAAACTTGTGGAAGCTATTTTAGTAATAGAAACCACGAACCAAAGGGAACAGCGCTTAAGATTCTCTATTATAACCGGTAAGTAATAAATATGAGCGACCGATGGAAAATACTTTATAGTGGTGTATTTTCATCACAATGTCAACAATGTGGGCTTTCATTAAGTGAAAAAACGATAAAGGTAGTGATATTTCACCAACGTGACCGAAACCACCCCCACTGTATTTTTCATAATTTCAAGATAGAGTCAAGCTCAATAAGGGTGGTATTTCACAACGTGACCGAAGTCACTTCCACTGTGTCTTTTCATAATTTCAAACCAGAGTCAAGCTTAATATAGGTGGTATTTCACCAACGTGACCGAAGCCACTCCCACTGTATCTTTCACAATTTCAAACTAGAGTCAAGCTCAACAGGGGTATCTCACCAACGTGACCGAAGCCACTCCCACTGTATCTTTTCATATTAGAGTCAAACTCACCATCAACAAGGATGGTGTATTTAACCAACGTGAACAATGCCAAAAAACCGCCAGCAGTGACCGAAGCCACTCTCACCATCAACAAGGGTGATGTTTTAACCAATGTGACCAATGCCAACAGTGACCGAAGCCACTCTCACCATCAACAAGGATGATGTTTTAACCAATATGACCAATGCCAACAGTGACCGAAGCCACTCTCACCATCAACAAGAATGATGTATTTAACCAATATGACCAATGCCAACAGTGACCGAAGCCACTCTCACCATCAACAAGGATGATGTATTTAACCAATATGACCAATGCCAACAGTGACCGAAGCCACTCTCACCATCAACAAGGATGATGT